TATTGGCTAGTGCTCCAACACATTGTACGTGATAGTTGATAGGCTAAGGGGCGGGACATCTCTAAGCTGGTTGACCAATCAGAAGAGAGCTGGTCCAGCTAACCAATCAGAGCAGACCGGGCTCTGGTTTCAGACAGAGCCTGACTTCACCTGAGAGAGTCTGCATCACCTGACTTCACCTGAGAGAGTCTGCATCACCTGACTTCACCTGCCTGATGCAGGCCTCGGATAGTGAAAGTGCAGTCGGATTCTCAAAGCAGTCTCTTCTCCTAAGTCCTTTTGATTTCTCCTATCCACTATTCCTTAACCCCGTGACGTTTCACACAGAGGAGAGGAATAGTGGAGAGGAGAAGACGATAGGAGCTGATTTTTGGACTATTCGGCTGCAACCAGTGTGTTTTGTGTTAAAATGATTCTACCTGTTCCCCTCAGCTTCCTGGAGGAAGTGATGTCATCGGCTGGTCAGACTGGAGAGAGAGCCCAGACGAGCGGTCGCCAAGGCAACAGACGCTGATCACCGTGCAGACTATAACTACATTCCTGTGTGTGTGTGTGTGTGTGTGTGTGTGTGTGTGTGTGTGTGTGTGTGTGTGTGTGTGTGTGTGTGTGTGTGTGTGTGTGTGTGTGTGTGTGTGTGTGTGTGTGTGTGTGTGTGTGTGTGTGTGTGTGTGCCATCACTACTTCATCACTGTGTAACTTAAATAAAACCCAGATTAAGTGTGTGTGTGTTTCTGTGTTTCACTTTATTGGGATATAAAATAAATAAAGTTTGTGTTTTCAAAATGTTCACCATCTGCCTCCTTCCACTGTCCTTTAAAGCTAAGTATATATATATATATGTTACATAAATGATATTTAGTAGAAACCCTAACAGACACAGTAAATTATATCTGATCCTTAATGACTCAGGTCTTTAATGACTCAGGTCTTTAATGACTCAGGTCCTAATGACTCAGGTCTTTAATGACTCAGGTCCTTAATGACTCAGGTCTTTAATGACTCAGGTCCTTAATGACTCAGGTCCTTAATGACTCAGGTATTTAATGACTCAGGTCTTTAATGACTCAGGTCTTTAATGACTCAGGGCTTTAATGACTCAGGTCTTTCTTTAAATAAATAGGTGATGGTTTTTCGGTCCTTAAAGTTATTTATTATAAACATTTCAATTAAGTGAGGGTTTATGAATGTGCTAATGTTCTGTTTCGAAGACGTAATAAAACGTAATAAACATAACATTTATTTCATTTTAAAGGTACGTTAACGGACAGAAAACATGGAATTAAAAGGTTCAGAAAATATAAAAAATTATAATAAATGTTTCCTCCTTTTCTTAAACATCTTAATAAAAATTAACATTACATTACATTGCATTTAGCTGAGGCTTTTATCCAAAGCGACTTACAATAAGTGCATTCGACCAGGAAGATACAAACTTGAAGAAAACAGAATCATATAAGAACATCAGGTTTCATAGAGCCAAAACATTTCAAGTGCTACTCAACTGGCTTTAGATAAGCCAGTCCTTTGTTAGTATATAAGTTCTTTGTTAGTAATTCTATCGCTTGAAGTGGAGTCAAAGAGATGAGTTTTCAGTCTGCTCCGGAAGATGTGTAAGCTATCTGCTGTCCTGATGTCAATGGGGAGCTCATTCCACCATTTTGGAGCCAGGATAGCAAACCCACGTGTTTCTGCTGATGGGAACTTGGGTCCCCCTCGCAGTGCGGGTGCAGCGAGCCGTTTGGCCGATGCAGAGCGGAGTGCACGTGCTGGGGTGTATGGTTTAACCATGTCCTGGATGTAGGAAGGGCCAGATCCATTCACAGCATGGTACGCAAGTACCAGTGTCTTGAAGTGGTTTCTAGCAGTTACTGGAAGCCAGTGAAGTGAGCGGAGGAGCGGTGTGGTGTGGGAACATTTAGGAAGGTTGAAGACCAGACGAGCCGCTGCATTCTGGTTGAGCTGCAGAGGTGGGATGGCACATGCAGGTAGACCAGCCAGGAGGGAGTTGCAGTAGTCTAGGCGTGAGATGACGAGAGCCTGGACCAGAACCTGCGTGGCTTTCTGGTCCTCCTGATGTTGTAAAGCGTGTATCTGCAGCAGCGGGTTGTAGCAGCGATGTTTGCAGTGAAGGACAGTTTGTTATCTAGGGTCACACCCAGATTCCTTGCAGTCTGAGTCGGGGAAACAACAGAGGGGCCGATGTTGATTGTTAGGTCAAGAGTGGGACAAACTTTTCCCGGAAGGAAAGGCAGTTCAGTCTTGTCAAGGTTGAGCTTGAGGTGGTGAGCAGACATCCACCGAGAGATGTCAGCTAGACAAGCAGAGATGTGTGTGACGACCTGGGTCTCCGAGCGGGAAAGGACAGAATTAAATTGGGTGTTGTCAGCGTAGCAGTGGTATGAAAAACCATGCGGGCTAATGACAGATCAGAGCGAGTTTGTGTACAGAGAGAAGAGGAGGGGACCAATAACAGAGCCCTGAGGGACCCCTGTAGTTAATTGACAAGGGTCGGACTCGGACCCTCTCCAAGTTACCCTGTAGGTGCGGTCTTCGAGGTATGAGGTGAGGAGGGAAAGTGCAGAGCCTGAAACTCCAAGTTCTTGGAGAGTGCGAAGGAGGATCTGATGATTCACCGTGTCGAATGCAGCAGACAGGTCCAAAAGGATGATGACAGAGGAGAGGGAGGCTGCTTTAGCCGTGTGCAGTTCCTCAGAGACAGCAAGGAGAGCAGTTTCTGTGGAGTGACCTGCCTTGAAACCAGACTGGTGCGGATCCAGAAGGTTGTTCTGATGGAGATAACAGGAGAGTTGTTTAAAGACAGGAACGGGAGGAGAGAAACAGGCCTGTAGTTTATAACATCAGACGGGTTGAGAGTGTTTTTTTTTAGGAGAGGGTTTACTCTTGCCTCCTTGAGACTGTTTGGAAAGTGACCAGAAGTTAGAGAAGTGTTGATGAAATGGGTGAGACACGGTAGAATATCAGGAGCGATAGTCTGCAGGAGGTTTGAGGGGATAGGGTCCAGAGGACAGGTGGTAGGACGGGCAGAGGTCATGAGGGTAAGAACCTCACTTGGAGAGAGAGGGGGAAAGGAGGTTAGTGAGTGGGTGAAAGGTGGGTCACGTGACCCAGCGGTGAGTAAAGGTGGGTCAGGTGACCCAGCGGTGAATAAAGGTGGGTCTGGTGACCCAGTGGTGAGTAAAGGTGAGTCAGAAAAAGAAGAGCGAATATCATCAACTTTTTTTTCAAAGTAGTTAACAAAGTCGCTTGACAGAAGGGAGGAGGGGGAAGGGGCTCTGGGGGGTCCAGGAGGGTGGAGAAGATGGAAAACAGTTGTTTGGGATTGGAATAGGAAGAATGGATCTTATCTTGAAAGAAAGTGCTTTTTGCCTGAGAGATGGAAGCAGAGAAAGAGGAGAGGAGAGCCTGATAGGTTAGGAGGTCGTCATGGCGTTTGGATTTCCACCGTTTCCGCTCTGCTGCCCGAAGGATGGTTCTATTAGCACGCAGTGCGTCATTTAGCCAGGGAGCAGGAGGGACTGACGAGCCTGCCGAGATGTGAGAGGACAGAGAGAGTCCAGAGAGGATGAAAGAGTGGAGAGGAGAGTTTCTGCAACAGAGTTTGGAGGCAGGAGTTGGAACGAGTCAGAGGAAGGGAGGGCTGAGAGCACAGGTAGAGGGGGAGAGGGAACGAAGGTTACGGCGGACAGGTGCAGGATGAGAAGAGATTAGTTTGTTATGTTTGGAAAGGGGTAGAGAGAATGAAATGAAGAAGTGATCAGATGTGTGAAGTGGGTTTACAGAGAGGTTAGAAGTAGTGCAGTTCCTTGAGAATATGAGATCAAGGACATTGCCAGCTTTATGAGTTGGTGGGGATGGAGACAGTGAGAAAGCAAAGGTGGTTAAAAGAGATGTTAGTTCAGATGTCTTCTGGAGGTTGAAGTCTCCGAGAAGTACAGCGGGAGGGCCAGTTTCAGGGATGTGTGAGAGGAGATGATCTAATTCCTCCAAGAAGTCCCCCAAGGCGCCTGGTGGACGGTAGAGAACAACAACGGTTAATTGTATAGGATGGGTTACTGTGACAGCATGGAATTCAAAGGTGGAAGGAGTGAAGTTAGGTAGCTTGAAGAGGGAAAAGCTCAGTTTGGGAGAGAGCAGGAGACCAGTGCCACCACCTCTGCCAGTGGGTCTGGGTGTATGGGTGAAGGAATATGCTGTGGAGAGAGCTGCTGGGGTGGATGTGTTGGATGGAGTAATCCAGGTCTCAGTGAGAGCAAGGAAATCCAGAGACTACAGGGAGGCGTAGCCAGAGATGAAGTCAGCCTTAGGAACAGCTGACTGGCAGTTCCACAGGCCACCTGTAACTAGATGTTGGATCTCAGTGGAGCATGTGGGATAGACGAGAGCAGGCCGGTTATATCGATTAGGAGATACACGGGGCCAGTGATAATTGCGAGAAGACACATGAACAGGGATGGAGAAAATACACATGATAATAGCATGAGGGGCTAAAAAATAAAAATAAAATAAAATAAAATAAATAAAGCGTGTGTTTGTGTGTGTCTCTCTCTTTGTGTGTGTGTGTGTGTGTGTGTGTGTGTGTGTGTGTGTGTGTGTGTGTGTCTCTCTCTTTGTGTGTGTGTGTGTCTCTCTCTTTGTGTGTGTGTGTGTGTGTGTGTGTGTCTCTCTTTGTGTGTGTGTGTGTGTGTGTGTGTGTGTGTGTGTGTGTGTGTGTGTGTGTGTGTGTGTGTGTCGCTAGATGGCGCTGTCGGGCTCCTTATATTTTCACCGGAATATAGGCTAAAGTGCGCGTCCTTCAGCGTGTCAGGTCGCGTGCACGTTAGATGAGAGAAGGAGCATCTGCCTACACACACACGCACACACATACACACACACACACACACACACACACACACACACACACACACACACACGCACACACTCACTCACTGGCTGCAGACAACAGGCACCGAGCAGCGGGAGCGCGCACCGAGCAGCGGGGCCGCGCACCGAGCAGCGGCTGCAGCTCCTCTCCGGTGAGACCGAGGCGGAGGGAGGATGAAGAAAAGCACCCAGAGAGGACGGGTAGGCACCATCCATCTTTATATTTAATATATATATATAATATATACTGCTTTAAATGAGTGAGAGCATCCTCTCCATCCCATAATAACACAGTGCTCATCATGCAGGGATCACACGGTGTTCTGCTCTGCTCAGACTCTCGTTATTTCATTATTTAAGCGTGTTAATACAGTATTCATGTCAGTATACCATTATATATCATTATATATCATTATATAGGCCTATCATCATATATCATCTCCAGATATATTCATACCTCTGTTTGCAGAGTGTGTGATTCTGTCTCATTCCAGTGAACGACAGCTGACTCCGTTTACTCTGTTTTATATAACAACAAACAACTTATATCTAGCTTCATATTTAATAATTACTCAGTTTAAACTCTACAAATACTGAATCATGACAGAAGGATTATAGAAATAAAAACAAAGAGGTGAAATGTTATATTATATATATTATTTAATAATTCATGTCTTGCATTTAGGTATGAGGGTTAGTATGAATGAATAATACTCTGTTAAGGAGCCCAATCATTATTAAAACAACTGTGCTGCACAGTGGCAGCTAACAGCTAACTGCTAACGGCTAACAGCTAACATCTTACAGCTAAGGGCTAACAGCTAAAGGTCCCATGGCCATTTCTACTGATCATAATTCCATTGTTGAGGTCTACTAGAATAGATTGACATTGTTCAATGTTCCAAACTCACATTGGTTTCTCATACAGCATCTCTGTAAAGTATGTGTATTCACTCTCTATCCTACACGCCTTGTTGGAGCTCCTGCCCCCCTCCCCCTCCCTGTGAGCCCACTGTGCTCTGATTGGTCAGCTCGCCCACTCTGTTCTGATGAGTCCACCACCGTTACAGCTGAACATCAGTGATTATGTGTTACAATGGCGTTTGTTAGCAACCAGAAATGACACCAGTAATGACAAACAGATGAGATTGCTGCGTGGGGTCTGGGTGCCGTGTTGGCGGGACGTTGCTGCTCCGCCCTTTGAGGCTCGAGGAGCGGACAGTGAGAGCTGGGTTACTGCTGTCGTTTCCTGGTTGCTGCGTGGGGTCAGCGAGACAGCGATAAGGCTGAGTGAATGTGTGTGTGTGAGGAGCTCCACGGATTGGTCAATTTGGACCAATTGGTCCATTTGGTCGTCGTTACGTCACTTAGACCAGGAAGAAAACAATGGAAAAAGAGAAATCCCCAACGAGGCGTTCTGGGGCCTCATAGACAGGTCTTTTCTGTGTTAGAGTTTTACTCGCTACAGGGTGTACTTTGAGGGTTTGTGACTCTGCAGACCGTTTACATGCAGAAGCTACAGAACACAAGGGGACGGGTAAGAACCAGAAAAGCATGACATGGGACCTGTGCTAACAGCTAAGGGCTAATAGCTCAGGGCTAACAGCTCAGGGCTAACAGCTAAGGGCTAACAGCTAAGGGCTAACAGCTCATGGCTAACAGCTAAGGGCTAACAGCTAAGGGCTAACAGCTCATGGCTAACAGCTAAGGGCTAACAGCTCATGGCTAACAGCTAAGGGCTAACAGCTCAGGGCTAACAGCTAAGGGCTAACAGCTAAGGGCTAACAGCTAACGGCTAACGGCTTACATGAACTAGTTTAATCGTTGGATTATTGACATGATTTTATTCTTTTATTTGGTTATAAAGATGATTTTCTTTAAATATCACAATGATCACTGGTATATATTTCCAACCACTGGGTGGCGCCCCCCAAAAGGTCCCCAGATAAAAGCCAGCGGGTCTTTGTGATGGTTTCTCTCCACTTTGAATCTATTGTCATCTCTTTGTTGTCGATCCAGAGTGAGTCGTTTAGTTTGGATCCAGAGTGAGTCGTTTAGTTTGGATGGTGTTGTGTTCAGGGCCCGCAGGACGCAGGGCCACCGGCACCGCTGCAGCCGGAGAAGACGGGCTGGATCAGGAAGTTCTGCGGGCGCGGGATCTTCAGAGAGCTGTGGAGGAGCCGGTACCTGGTTCTGAGAGGAGACACGCTGTACATCTGTGAGAAAGAGGTGAGGTCTCTCTCTTTATATCAGAGCCTGCAGCTACCATCACATTCACTTTCAACCATCAAGTCAGAATTATGAGATTTTTTGAAAAAGTCAGAATTTAGAGTTTCAGAAAAATCATAATTTCGAGATTTTCAAAATGTTGAGATTTTCAAAAGAGTCCGAATTTTGGGGAAAAAGTCAGAACTTCTATCTGTCTGTAAAATGAGCTAGCCAACATTAGCTCCAGACTCAGACCAGCTCTCATCCAGCAGCAGCTCCTCACAGCTCAAACATCAACATAAAACCTCTACCTTTCTGGATCAATCCATCACATATTGATCTGAATAGTTAGTTTCTCTCCTCAATAACAGTTCATTTCAAAGCTTAAAGGGGACCTATCATGAATATGTG